GAAATGTAGAAAAGTGAAATCATTTGAATGAAAATGGTTAAATGTTATGGCACCTTGGACATTATACAAGAAGAACATCCTTTTTTGTTTTTGAAAGACAAACCTTTATTAATATCCAAACAGTTAATTTGATCACACATCCCATCAGTAAAGTCTGTTCAATGATTTCATGATCAGTTTCACTTCATCCACACAATCTGAATCTCAGCTATTTCAAACAGAATCAGAAATGATTTACTTGCTGATTATTATCATGATAATTAATGTTCTATAAAACATCAGAGTGCCCACTTTCTATTTGGACAACAACAACAACAACAACAACAACAATGAGTCTGCAAAACAATAACTGTAATATTATACAATGTATTTCCCAAACAAAGACTCTAAGCTATTGACAGGAGAATAATAAATGATTGACTTATTGATTATGATCATGACAGTAAGTAATATCATTTTAAATAAACATGTAATGATGAAATAAGTGTTATAACCATCTGGGGAACTCATTTGTTCATTAATTTGGGCAACAATAATATATAATCTGTCAAAATAATACATGTGATTATAAATGTCTCTATTGTTGAGAAAGTGGCCAGAATAAAATATCTACAATGAAAGAAGCTCTGGTGCTTTCTCTCTGAAGACTCAAGCTTCAAGAGAAACAACAATATACAAATATATCAATATTCAACAAATATTTAGAGCAAAGTTCACATTTCCATGCAGAGAAATATGAGTAGAGGTCAACAGAAACCCTCCTGAACAGTGACAGCCTCCATGGCTAAACAGACACAGGAAGGAGCGCCGCCTAAAGAAACTCCAACATCTACAGAACAACTCATGAGAAGATGTTAAAGCACATCCCATAATGTTTGATTGACAGCTGATCTCTGTGCAGTGAAGACATGAACAATCAGCTCTCAGCAACAATGATGGACACAATGAGTTTAAGAAGTAGAAGAGTTCCTCAAATGACTTCAGGCTATTTCAGTTTACACAACTCAGCTGTGGTTCCACCATAAACCAAAACTCCAGCATGTAGCGGCTGAGTGAACGTGGTCTGGACTCTGTGGAGGAGAGTCATGGTTTCAGAGATGATGCTGTAGAAGGACAGAATACCTGCTCTGTGATCCAGGTACACTCCTACTCTGGAGGACCGAGGACCTGAGACGGGAGTGCTGATACTGTTGTAACGAAATGAATAACTATTTTGGAAACACTCTAAGGACCAAGATTTGTCATTGTATCCAAATCCACTTTCACCCCCACTCCCTGCTCTGCTGATATTCTTGTATGCGACTGCTACATAAACTACTCCCCCTCTCCACTCCACCTCCCAGTAACAACGTCCAGTCAGACTCTCTGTACTCAGGACCTGACAACAATCAGTGAATCTGTCTGGGTGATTAGAATAAGACTGTTGTTGTCTCATGTATGTTGCTTTTCTGCCCCCCTCAGATATTAACAGCAGTGTGTATGCTGTGTTTGGATCCAGAGTGATCTCCTGTGAATATTCTAAGAACCCAGCTCTGGAGGTGGGCTCTGCTGCTGGCAGTAAAACTTCCACTTCAGGCGGTGAGACGTTTGTCCATTCCTCTCTCAGGACGTCCTGTAGTTTGTCTCTAACTGCTGACAGGGCCGCCGTCACGTCCTCAAAGTAGCTCAGAGGACGGAGGTTGATGCTGGAGGAGTGTGTAGCTTCACTGAGGGCTGACGGTGAGGGGTAGCTGAGCAGAAACTGGTTGTGATCCTCTGTGTGAGACAGCAGCTTCAGCTCAGCGTCTCTCCTCTTCAGCTCAGAGATCTCCTGCTCCAGCTTCTCCTGGAGCTCTCTGACTCGACTCACTTCTCTCTTCTGCTGGGATCTGAGCTGCTGCTTCACATCAAAGCTTCTCTTCTCCATGAGACGGATCAGCTCAGTGAACGTCTTCTCACTGTCCTCCACTGCTTTATCAGCAGAGCCATTGACGGCCTCCACCTCCTGCTGAAGCAGCTTCACCTCCTTCTCTCCGTCCTGGATTCTCTGCTGGATGTTTTGTCGACTCCCCTCCAGCTCTCTCTGCCTCTCAGTCCTCTCTGCTGCAGCTGACACCGTGTCGTGGCCTTTGTGTTCGTCCACAGAGCAGAGAGAACAGATACACTGCTGATCAGTGCGGCAGAACATCTTCATCACCTCGTCGTGACGAGAGCAGATGTTCTCCTGGAGCTTCTTGGAGGGCTCCACCAGCTTGTGTTTCTTTAATGGAGCTACGTCATAATGAGGCTGGAGGTGTTTGTCACAATAAGAGGCCAGACACATGAGGCAGGACTTACAGGCTCTCAGTTTTCTCCCAGTGCAGACATCACAGGCCACATCTTCAGCTCCAGCATAGCAGAGATCAGCAGGAGCAGCTTGGAGTCCAGTCTTCTTCAGCTCCTCCACTAAAGCTGCTAACATGGTGTTTTTCAGCAGGACAGGCCTCGGTGTGAAGCTCTGCCTGCACTGAGGGCAGCTGTGGATCTTCTTCTCATCCTCTCCATCCCAGAAGCCTTTAATACACTTCATGCAGTAGCTATGTCCACAGGGAGTCGTCACCGGATCCTTCAGTAGATCCAGACAGATCGAACAAGAGAAGGTTTCCCGGTCCAGCTGAACTCCTTTCTGCGCCATTTCTCCTCTCAGTGGCAGCGAGTGTCTGAGTTTCACTTCCTGAAACCTGAAACTATGTGAGCTGTGATCTGAACAGGATGTGTGTGTGCAGTGAATGTGGCCTATCAGCTCTTGTATTTTACCCACATGTTGTTTACACCCATCCTCCTCAGTGTGGATCTGAAGGGGAGGAACCAGGAAATACAGAGTGGAGCTGGCTGTGTCTGAGAGCAGGAAGAAGAGGGAGGGCTTATCAAACTCTGACTCATTCCAGGAGGAGGAGCAGCGCTGACACTGAACTGTTTCCTCATTTACAAACGGAGCCTCGCTTTCAACCTGCTCTACATTTGAAGAGAGCTTTTAGTTGTAAAATAAGTGGGTACACTTACAAATTCTGCAGGGGATCAAATACTTATTTCCTCTACTGTAAATGTATAGCCTCAATGTCCTGAAATAGCTGAATAAGTTAATAGTTGAATATTTTGTGCAGCTGAAAGTAGGCTGAAGGAGTTATCAGATGTTCTTTTGAAGGGGTGTGTGGCTTTGGAGAGTGTGAGGTGGAGAAACACTAAATGAGATATCTGACATCAATAAATGGGAGGCTCACCCATAAAAACAATGGTTAGGGAGGCAAAGGCCTTTGGTGTGTGTGTGTGTGTGTGTGTGTGTGTGTGTGTGTGTGTGTGTGTGTGTGTGTGTGTGTGTGTGTGTGTGTGTGTGTGTGTGTGTGTGTGTGTGTGTGTGTGTGTCAGATGAATACAATTTAGAATAAAATAAATCTAATATATTGAATGGGAAGTCAGATATGAGATATAGTGTAATTTATCAAATATGAAGTCAAGGTGTTACTGAGACTTTTGACCTACTGTCTTACACTGTAGTCACATTGTAATTGTGTATGTCAATTATAAAAACTAAAACATATCTATAAACTTCTGCTTCCTAAATCAATCGTGAAAGGAGAAGTTGTAAAGGTTTGACCTATATTGTATGTTGTGTCTTGTCCCTTATGGTTTATTTTTTAATTGTGAGCTAAAGGATTAAATACAGGAGCAGCATGCAGATATTTGAACACGCATGATCATCAGACAAGTCACCTTCTTGATCCTCACACTGAAATACATAGAGCTTATGTAACGCAGATGTAAATGTTTGCATCAGTAAAAGAACACATATCTCCTTTGGAAATATCTCTTATCAGAGGTCTTTATTCCAGTTTGGTAAAGCCAACAGTTACTCTCCAAAGTTACATTCAAACAATCTTTCATTTACCTGAACCTCAGGTAAACCTCCACGTCCCCAGTTCAGACCTTTATTCCTCTGTTGGTCTCACAACGATCACAACAATAGTGATTTCTCCCTCTTATCATATTCTTTAACATTCCAAGCATACATATTTATATTCACTATTTGTACAATATATTGTCATCGAGTCCATTCATCCGTCCACCCCCCCTCGTCCACATGCACACACACAAACACTGTACAGATGTATCAATGGAATCATGGTTCAAAGACGGTCGGCCTTAACATTTAATATCCACGAGTCAAGGAAAGACACAGCTGAGTACCATTTGTTTGTTTTTCAAGTTCTGGCTGCTGCAAGGTGATTTGTTCATAAAGCCAAATGGAGAAGGCGGCGTGCAGATATATGACAGAGTGAAAGCCTCTCATGTGTTCAGAGGACCCTGGTCCAGTGTTTCAGGAATACAGGAAGAAGAACAAAGAGAGAGATGGAAAGAGCGTTTAAAGGAATGACAATTATTCACCATGTTATCTTGAATTCTTCATTAAGAGCTTACTATTTAAAGCACTTCCACATGACTGGTCTCACGGAGGGTCAAATAATGCTCAAATGTGAAACTTTGATGTCTTTTATAATGTAAGCTTTTATAAAAAAATTGGAATTACTAGCATGTGACGGGATAATTGAGCTTTACTGCACAAAATGTGAGAGCTTTTAAATAAAGGGTTTAAAATACGTCCCAATTTACGTCAATTCATCAAACAGTTTTTTGAATTCTTCTTACCGTAGAGGGATACAAGAAAAACGACATCATCTTCAAAAACTTAAGAAAACACGAGTCGAGTAATTTGATATACAAGTGGTCATTTTGATGGTGAAGCATTCCTGCTCAAATAAAAGGAAAGACAAAGGGAGACCTGAACGGAAAGGGCAGTAAATGTTCATATCATTCCTAAATAAAAGCGTTCCATCCCTTCTTCTCCACGTTGCTTCTCTTAGTGTCTAAACGTCTAAAGCCAAGCACAGCAGTTCCTTCTCTTGGTTCCCCAGTGTGGTTCTTACAGGAGTGGTGACAGGTTATACAATACAGTCCAGTCTCCAACCTCCAATACTGACGCCCTCCTTCTTACTTCCAGCCAACTGATGCTTTGGTCTCTGTGCAGTAGACGAGGCGTTTATGGCCCTGTATTAGGAATCCAGTGTCGGACATTTGGACGCCAACTATTGCAGTAAAGTGGCACAAACGCAGCTGCAGGAGAACATGAGATACTGAAAAGTGCAAACCTGTTTCTTGGTCGCTAGTTCGATACATCTATGGTTTGGTTTATGACACATTTGCGTAGCTTTGGTCCGGAGGTTGTACGAGAGGAGAAAGCCAGTGACTACAATTTGAGAGGAAGAGAAGCTGAGCCGAGCCGAGCCGATCCAGGCTGTGTTCGGCAGGGCCACGCTGGGTTAGGAAGAGCTCTGCGTTGGGAGAGTGAGAGAGAAAAACAAGAGGCTCGTCCTCCAGCGTCTCTCTCTACCTGCCGAAAATGTTCTCGTACTCCAGCAGTATGAGCTCCACGATCTGGTTCTGGTACACCATGTGGACCGCGATGTTCCACGTCTCCTGTTCGGGGCGCAACAGCGTGGGGCCGTACACGATGGCCACGCTCTGAGTGGTCATACGGTTCTCCTCGCCGTGCTCGATCACCCTGGAGAGGACACATCATTTGGAATTGATAATAAATCTTGACATAAGATAAGACTTTATTTATCCCGAAGGAAATTGTTGTGCCAGAGTTACAAAAATACAATAAACACAGCAGCACAATAACAAAACTGTAAACTAACAGTGCAGTAAAACTGCAATTAAATATCTACAGGAAACATAGACGGTCACATGATGAAGTAAATATTCACAGTATTCGTGGTTGCAGATACGTAATAAACACAGAATTCTCTCAGAAATACTCTACTGTTTACAATCTGCTCCGTAATGCTGTCGTATTTTTCATAATCAGATATGTATGATGGTTTATTTAGGCCGTTGTAGGTGAAATATACAAACCTGGGCAGGGGAGTAAAGAGTAAACAACTCAGAATTTCTTAGACGTATTTATACATTCATTCGTGATTTATTTTGTCATTTTCTGAAAATATAGGTGTACATTTATAGAATGAGAAAAAGCCTACAAATATGGAGGAAAAACTCAATATTCTTTAATTATTATCAACTCATAAATCCGCTATACTAGTATTACAGAGTGACGATCGTATGCCTCAAACAAATTCTTCCAAATTGTCATCAGCCTATTTTTTATCCTATTTTTGAAATTGTCCTAATTAGTAGTTAGCTTTCATCCAGGGGCGGACTGGCCATCTGTAGAATCTGGAGAACCACAGAACGGCCGGTCGTCAAGGGCTGTGGACGGCAGGCACTTTAAAAAGAAAAGGTTTAACGTCATCATTTAAATTGCGATGACGGCCGACAGCGGCCGCTAATGCAGTTGTGTGGTTCTTATGTCAAATAATCACACACGAAGAAGAGAAAAGACCGGCAACACAAAGGCCCATTCCCAAACCGCCCCCTACACGAGAAGGGTCTAGCTGCGGCCGCGGACAGTACACGATGGTACACGACACGCCCACCTGACACGACACTACGGTGGCTGAGAAGGGTCTAGCTGCGGCCGCGAAAGTTGTACTACCAAATATGGTCAGAAGAGAGCACGCCCCACACGTGAGACGCTGACGCAAAGATATTTAAGGAGACATGGAGGTTTACAGACAACAGACAACAAACAATATGGCGCACCGAGTACAGGTAATTATTAAACGTATTGTGGTTTAGATATAATTACATACTATTTAGGTTCTCGTTTGTTTGTCGATGTGGCAGTTTAGCGCAGTGTAATTGTGTTTATTTTGCTATTATATATATACTGTGTATATATATATATATATATAGGCGCTATATATATCTTATTATTAATACATCATTGGAACGGTACCTCCAGTATGCCTACATGACAAGCATTTTTATAATATACAGTAAACATATCTTTGACTTATTGCAAAATTATAAAATGAAATTCACCCCTGCTGTCATTCTGGCTTTCACTGTTCAAATGAGATGTCAACCATCAAAATGGGATAAGGGGTTCCAAGGGGTTCTCAAACGGATAGGTTATTAATTTATTTGCCTAATAGTTGCTTAAAATGCTACAATAACATGCCATGTACGGTCTCTCAGCCACCGTGGGCGGCGTAGTAGGAGGCGTGTCGTGTAGTGTCGTCAATTCGCTTTTCATCTGCCATGCCTCTCAGCCACCGTAGTGTCGTGTCAGGTGGGCGTGTCGTGTACCGTCGTGTACCGTCGTTTACTGTCCGCGGCCGCAGCTAGACCATATTGCCCTACACCCTGTCACTACCCGATCTGCAGCTCTGCCCGATCTGCAGTGCGCATGTACGAGATGGTCCGCCATATTGGACATCTCCAGACGGCAACCCAAGTAGGACAACATTGACACAGTGGCTTTTGGCCAAGCTCAAAAATAAAACGAGAGAGAGATGAGTTATTGTTATTACAACGTGACTTCACTATTATTTAACAACTATTTTTATTGGGTTGTTTTATTTAGGGTTAAGTACATTGTCAGAATAAGTGAGTAATGGATTTAACTTCTGTTAGACAGCTATCATACTGAATACATATTTACTGTGAATGTGTGCAAACATGTATGGCATATAGCTGTCTAACAGAAGTTAAATTCATTTCTCACTTATTCTGACAATGTACTTAACCCCAAATAAAAGAACCCAATAAAAAGAGTTGTTAAATAATAGTGAAGTCACGTTGTAATAACAATAACTCATCTCTCTCTCGTTTTATTTTTGAGCTTTGCCAAAAGCCACTGTGTCAATGTTGTCCTACTTGGGTTGCCGTCCGGAGATGTCCAATATGGCGGACCATCTCGCACATGCGCACTGCAGATCGGGCAGAGCTGCAGATCGGGTAGTGACACACCCTACCCCTCCGTTTGCGCGTTCACGCGGAGGGTCCGCCATATTGAGGGCTGTTCCAAAGCAACGAGTGTGGAGGGGGAGTGGGCTATCAAGCCCTCAAACAGCGAGTCTGCAGCGGTGCTGACTTGAGACCGGTCTCTACCTGACCGGAGTCACGCTGTGTGTGTCCGACAGGAAACACGCTGTTTACAAGTAGTTCCAGCAAACATCCACTGATAAATTGCGATGTTAACAACCTCATGATAACCTCATATGTTTTTAACTTAGGATCATACCTGTGTTTAGTCTAGAAAAAGGTAAATGTGTGCATTTTATTATAAAGTTGTGTATATTTACAGACCGTTGCAAAAACTAAGAAGCTTATAAACATCAGGGTTAAAACTAAAAGAGCTTTGAAACACAATGAAAGAGTTTTGGAGTTTTATTTGAGTTATTCATTTAAACTTTGTGTCTAAGAGATGCTGATTTGAAACCGTTGTTACATACAGTTACGGCATTTCCTGTTTCTGCCGGAGAGAGGGGAGGCCGTCCCAAAGCTTGCTGCTGTGTTTACTCCCTCCATCTGACAGGAGGGAGCCTCGTTGAGCTGCGAGTGTGTGCTACAGACGGAGTTCACTCCATCACGGAGGGGTAGGGTCGAGGGAGTGGTTTGGGATTGGGCCGAAGAGAAGGGATTAGACGCCGCGGCAGACAGGGAGAATGAAAAAACATGGATACAAATCAAAGAAAACGAAAAGGAAAAGGTGGGGCCGAGAAGGCAAGAGAAATAAAGGTGAAGTCACTCGCAGGTGAAGCATATACATGTCGCAAATCGACAGACCTTCTTGGCAGCAGCGCTACAAGCACTATCAACAGCAGCTTAGAACAAGTGCAAGATGATGAAGAGAATGATGAGGGCCCGAGTTTAGATATACAGCCAGCCTCCTGCGTTCATGATGAGGGACAGAGTTGAGCTGCTGGAAGAACCAGCTCAACTGGCACATACAAGTGCAGAGCAAGAGCAAGAGGTGGGTGAGAATTATCCCTTGAACTCAGTGACGTTTTCTCCTGGAGGCCAAGGGAAGCCAGGCTTCCCCTGTTTTTTTTGCATTGTAGTTATAATATTAATAAATAAATAAAAACACTTCGTTTAGTTTCGGTAATTATTCTGCCGGCCCGTCTCTCCCCCCATTCTCATTGAGTATTTTACAAAGAGTGAAACAGCGCCCCTCTAGATGTTATGGTGAAATAGTAGATTGCACTCTGTTGCGAGACGAGGCCAGCCACAATTGGCTTCCCTTGGTGAAAAAAAATGGAGGGATTGACCAATCAGATGAGGCTCACGTCATGCCTCACAATCTAATCAAATCACATCAATTTCAGTTCGTACTGTAACTGTCATCACTGCCCTTAAAAAGTAGCAAGCAACTGAAGCAAGTGCAATTATGGAGGGTGGAGATTTGGAGTATTTCATCAAAAATAATTGTACTAAACTTCCGCTACAGCAGCAACTAAAAATGAAATCTGATGACAGGCCAATGATCAAACTGGAGCTGTGTACAGAGAGGGAAAAAGGAGTGAATCGGACGTAAAACTTTAAATAATAAACAGCGGATTTCTAACATTTGACATTTCATGTGGCCGGACTGGGTCAGTTTCCAGGGCTGCATTTTAGTCCCAGTCCGCCCCTGCTTTCATCGCACATTTCTGATCAGTTCATCTTTAAGTCACAGTCCACATGTGTGCCAGATCTGAAAAGGTTCCCTCTATGCATTCCTGGGAGAACGAGGCGTACGGACAGACATATGTTTGGAAGTTATTTCTGACGGACAACTCAAACATATTATGCCTCAGGCCGCAGATGTCGCCAGAGAAAGGCATACAAAGTGTGATTTGATTTGTAGGCATTATACACAGAAAGCTGAAGAAAAGGAAAAACAAATGATAGAGCAGTAAGAGAGTGTTTTTCTCACTTCCTGAGGTGCTTGAAGAGAGTCTGCATGGTGTCGTGGTTGCAGACGGGAAGCTGTCGGACCAGGTCTTTAATGGACTGAACCCGCTGCTTGTAGTCTGGACTCTCTGCACAACAGAAAACACAACATTTATCAAAGTGAATCATCTGGATTCATCAAAGAGTCTCATGCCTCCTTCTGTTGTTTCACTGACTACTTCCACATCATATGCACATTGTTTTACTTATTCCCAATAAAAGACAATATGAATACTACGCTGTTTACAAAGAGGCTAACGGGTACGGTTTCACAGTTTTCTGGCTCTCCAAAACCCAGGTTCTTTCCGGGCCAACAACCGGGCTGAGTATGCTAAACTAGTGAGAGAATTGTTGGCAAGGGGGCTACAACTACAACAAAATGAACATATTTGACCGTGATTTAATTGTAATACACGTTTCAAAATGATGCCGAAGTAACAACATACTGATACCGGTTAGTAAAAACCATGAATTAATGCTTTGATTAGTCTGCAGACAGACGGCAGGCGAAAAACCTTTTTTAATCCTTTTTTTCTGAATGGAGTTTGGCTACGCTAACGTTGTATATGCTCCGACCGTCCACACTCACAACAACGGCCTATACCAGGGGTGCCCAACCTTTTTTGAACCGAGAGCTACTTTTAAAGTTGCCAGTCTGCCGAGATCTACCAGTCCAAATAGAGAGGCGTAGCCATTACTGACAGCCTACTACCAGGTAAATACACACTTCTACTTGTATAAAACTGACCTTTGTACGATTAATACTTAATAAAATACTGCAGATGCTTTATCTTACCTCTTTCTATTCTACACACATACAAGTATTTAACTGAAGTTACACAACAGTGTTGTGGATACAGAGTTGGAGTTTATTCACACGTCACATACTACAGTGGGTAATGTTTAAGAAACATTGAACAGTGCTGCCACATATGACACAGGGAAAAAAGAAAATACTCTGAACCCTTTCTTTGCCATTATATAAAAATAGTGTTGCTACAAAAGTATAAATTAGGCTTACTAATAAGACAACTCAGATCTGAAGCTACACAGGAATCTGCTGCAACAGGGCAATACAAAAGACAAAATTAATAGAATCAAACCTTTTTTTGTTGCATTTTAGTAGATTATAAAAAGAAATGCCTTTAAAATAGGATGCAAGCAACAGTTTCTTAACCTGAATTGATAATAGACTATAATCAATTTAAGTTTGCATTCTTATACCATTGTGTACAATAATTATAATGAATAAGTTCAAACAAACTAAAACTTACAGCAGATTAATAACGGTATCTAACTTGAGTTTTTATTATATCAAAAACCTGTTGAAATGCTACTGTTATTTTTACTGTCCCCCAAAAGCGTGTCGGCAGCCTCCAGGAAGACTTCATGTGTTTCGCAAGAACGTGACTGACACGTTAAGATGCTATGCCTATGGTAGCAGCCTTGCTCTTGTGGTGAAAATGGCCTGCTGTGCATTTAGCTGTCCTTTCAGGCCCCTCCCCTTTTGGAGCGTAGGGCAGAATTTGGAGGGAATTCCGTCTCGTAGCGTTTGTGCACTGTTTTGAAATGCCGCTCCTAAATTACCCTTCTTCGATAAAGCCACGCTCGCATTGCAGATGAGATAGATGGACTTTGAATTGGAATAGATACAAAAATAATCATCCTCCCACTCGGAGTGAAAATTATATATGTTTTGCTTCTGCCATAATTGCGGTCTTGTGTGTGTGCGGACTGTCACTCCTGTTGACACGGACAACGTTAGCGAACTAGTGCACACTGCCCACTGCTCACCAGCCACGCCCCGACACATGGGGTCACGCCGGCCAATCACAAAGCTTTGATGCGTTCAAGTGCATTATTCTGGCACAGGAAGATTATGTCACAGGACATTAACGATAAAACTGAATATTGTTGTTCTATTTGTACACACATCTCGCGATCGACTGGGAATCTCCCCGCGATCGACCGGTCGATCGCGATCGACTGGTTGGGCACCCCTGGCCTATACAGACATAAATAAACCAGCGACTGTATTCGCCATGACACAGACAGTCTGTGGTTTGTACTTATTTAACTTTTGTCTAGTTTCTGAACAGATATGAGGAGCTGTGAGCTCTGAGTGCTAACAGCTAAAGGCTGATGTTGGTTTTGTGGTTGTGGTGCAGCTGTGTGTTTCACGTACTGATTGCGCTGATGAAGTCGTGGAAGAGAGCGCAGCTCTCTGAAGTACATCTGTAACGCTCCAGTGATCACATGGAAGTCCTCCCACTTGGAGTCTGACAGGTTCACCTTTGATATATATTTATTTTTGTGCCATGCAGGTTGAAACTGTCACGGAAGAAAATTGTTGAACTTTCCAAAGAAGTTCTATTTATTGTCTATTTGGCAGAAGTATTATCAGCTAAATGTACTCAGGTATCAAAAGTAAAAGTACTCTTTTATATAAGAGTTGTATTATTATACAATATTATAATATCTTGTTTTCATCATGAGAAAATACATGAGTTTTTTAAATGTTGGATTTGGTCAATATGGAGCACATTTTGGAAAGTGCTGAGTCAATTTGTAAAAAATATATATCATATAAACACATGAATTTGTATAAAAAGCAACTACTTTTGTCAAATAAATGAAGTGCATTAAAAGCCTCTGAAATGTATTGTACAGTGAAAAGTAGATTTTCTCCAGTACATTTTTGAGGTACTTTGTAATTCTACCCCACTACATTTCTTTAATACCTTTAGTTCATATGCAGATTTGTATTAATGATGTGGAAGTAAAAGTACCCGAATTATACCTAAGTAGGCTACATTACTTGAGTAAATGTACTAAGTTACTTTCACCATTGTTAACTATGCAACTTTCCTTTTTAGAGGATGGGCTTCCACAAGTATACACATTTAAATATAGTGAAATACTCACCACAGAAAGCTAGTCGTTGCATGGAGGAAGGCAGTTGAAGTTAGACTAGAAAATGCAGAAGAAGCTGAATATTGTAACAGTTGAATGGCGACTGCTTTTAGCTACAAACTGCTGAACTTAGCGGAGAAATGTAGAAAAGTGAAATCATTTGAATGAAAATTGTTAAATGTTATGGCACCTTGGACATTATACAAGAAGAACATCCTTTTTTGTTTTTGAAAGACAAACCTTTATTAATATCCAAACAGTTAATTTGATCACACATCCCATCAGTAAAGTCTGTTCAATGATTTCATGATCAGTTTCACTTCATCCACACAATCTGAATCTCAGCTATTTCAAACAGAATCAGAAATGATTTACTTATTGATTATTATCATGATAATTAATGTTCTATAAAACATCAGAGTGCCCACTTTCTATTTGGATAACAACAACAACAACAACAACAACAACAACAATGAGTCTGCAAAACAATAACTGTAATATTATACAATGTATTTCCCAAACAAAGACTCTAAGCTATTGACAGGAGAATAATAAATGATTGACTTATTGATTATGATCATGACAGTAAGTAATATCATTTTAAATAAACGTGTAATGATGAAATAAGTGTTATAACCATCTGGGGAACTCATTTGTTCATTAATTTGGGCAACAATAATATATAATCTGTCAAAATAATACATGTGATTATAAATGTCTCTATTGTTGAGAAAGTGGCCAGAATAAAATATCTAACATGAAAGAAGCTCTGGTGCTTTCTCTCTGAGGACTCAAGCTTCAAGAGAAACAACAACATACAAATATATCAATATTCAACACATATTTAGAGCAAAGTTTACATTTCCATGCAGAGAAATATGAGTTGAGGTCAACAGAAATGCTCCTGAGCAGTGACAGCCTCCATGGCTAAACAGACACAGGAAGGAGCGCCGCCTAAAGAAACTCCAACATCTACAGAACAACTCATGAGAAGATGTTAAAGCACATCCCATAATGTTTGATTGACAGCTGATCTCTGTGCAGTGAAGACATGAACAATCAGCTCTCAGCAACAATGATGGACACAATGAGTTTAAGAAGTAGAAGAGTTCCTCAAATGACTTCAGGCTATTTCAGTTTACAAAACTCAGCTGTGGTTCCATAATCACAAAGCCCAACTCCAGCATGTAGCGACTGAGTGAATGTGGTCTGGACTCTGTGGAGGAGAGTCATGGTTTCAGAGACGCTGTAGAAGGACAGAATACCTGCTCTGTGATCCAGGTACACTCCTACTCTGGAGGACTGAGGACCTGAGACGTTAGTGTGGATACTGTTGTGACGAAATGAATTACTGTGTCGGAAACACTCTAAGGACCAAGATTTGTCATTGAGTCCAAATCCACATTTACCCCCACCCCCTGCTCTGCTGATATTCTTGTATGCGACTGCTACATAAACTGCTCCCCCTTTCCACTCCACCTCCAAGTAACAACGTCCAGTCAGACTCTCTCTACTCAGGACCTGAGGATAATCAGTGAATCTGTCTGGATGACTAGAATAAGACTGTAGTTGTCTCATGTATGTTGCTTTTCTGCTCCCCTCAGATATTAACAGCTGTGTGTTTGCTGTGTTTGGATCCAGTGTGATCTCCTGTGAATATGTTAAGAACCCAGCTCTGGTGGTGGGCTCTGCTGCTGACAGTAAAACATCCACTTCAGTCAGTGAGACGTTTGTCCATTCCTCTCTCAGGACGTCCTGTAGTTTGTCTCTGACTGCTGACAGGGCCGCCGTCACGTCCTCAAAGTAGCTCAGAGGACGGATGTTGATGCTGGAGGAGTGTGTAGCTTCACTGAGGGCTGACAGTGAGGGGTAGCTGTGCAGAAACTGGTTGTGATCCTCTGTGAGAGACAGCAGCTTCAGCTCAGCGTCTCTCCTCTTCAGCTCAGAGATCTCCTGCTCCAGCTTCTCCTGGAGCTCTCTGACTCGACTCACTTCTCTCTTCTGCTGGGATCTGACCTGCTGCTTCACATCAGAGCTTCTTTTCTCCATGAGACGGATCAGCTCAGTGAACGTCTTCTCACTGTCCTCCACTGCTTTATCAGCAGAGCCATTGACGGCCTCCACCTCCTGCTGAAGCAGCTTCACCTCCTTCTCTCCGTCCTGGATTCTCTGCTGGATGTTTAGTCGACTCCCCTCCAGCTCTCTCTGCCTCTCAGTCCTCTCTGCTGCAGCTGACACCGTGTCGTGGCCTTTGTGTTCGTCCACAGAGCAGAGATAACAGATACTCTGCTGATCAGTGCGGCAGAACATCTTCATCACCTCGTCGTGACGAGAGCAGATGTTCTCCTGGAGCTTCTTGGAGGGCTCCGCCAGCTTGTGTTTCTTTAATGGAGCTACGTCATAATGAGGCTGGAGGTGTTTGTCACAATAAGAGGCCAGACACACGAGGCAGGACTTACAGGCTCTCCGTTTTCTCCCAGTGCAGACATCACAGGCCACATCTTCAGCTCCAGCATAGCAGAGATCAGCAGGAGCAGCTTGGAGTCCAGTCTTCTTCTTCAGCTCCTCCACTAAAGCTGCTAACATGGTGTTCTTCAGCAGGACAGGCCTCGGTGTGAAGCTCTGCCTACACTGAGGGCAGCTGTGGGTCTTCTTCTCATCCTCTCCATCCCAGAAGCCTTTAATACACTTCATGCAGTAGCTATGTCCACAGGGAGTCGCCACCGGATCCTTCAGTAGATCCAGACAGATCGAACAAGAGAAGGTTTCCCGGTCCAGCTGAACTCCTTTCTGCGCCATTTCTCCTCTCAGTGGCAGCGAGTGTCTGAGTTTCACTTCCTGAGAACTGAAACTATGTGAGCTGTGATCTGAACAGCATGTGTGTGTGCAGTGAATTTGGCCTATCAGCTCTTACTTTACCCACGTGTTGGTTACACCCATCCTCCTCAGTGTGGATCTGAAGGGGAGGAACCAGGAAATACAGAGTGGAGCTGGCTGTGTCTGAGAGCAGGAAGAAGAGGGAGGGCTTATCAAACTCTGACTCATTCCAGGAGGAGGAGCAGCGCTGACACTCTGAACTGTTTCCTCATTTACAAACGGAGCCTCGCTTTCAACCTGCTCTACATTTGAAGAGAGCTTTTAGTTGTAAAATAAGTGGGTAAACTTACAAATTCTGCAGGGGATCAAATACTTATTTCCTCTACTGTAAATGTATTGCCTCAATGTCCTGAAATAGCTGAATAAGTTAATAGTTGAATATTTTGTGCAGCTGAAAGTAGGCTGAAGGAGTTATCAGATGTTCTTTTGAAGGGGTGTGTGGCTTTGGAGAGTGTGAGGTGGAGAAACACTAAATGAGATATCTGACATCAATAAATGGGAGGCTCACCCATAAAAACAATGGTTAGGGAGGCAAAGGCCTTTGGTGTGTGTGTGTGTGTGTGTGTGTGTGTGTGTGTGTGTGTGTGTGTGTGTGTGTGTGTGTGTGTGTGTGACAGATGAATACAATTTAGAATAAAATAAATCTAATATATTGAATGGGAAGTCAGATATGAGAGATATAGTGTAATTGATCAAATATGAAGTCAAGGTGTTACTGAGACTTGTGACCTACTGTCTTACACTGTAGTCACATTGTAATTGTGTATGTCAATTATAAAAACTAAAACATATCTATAAACTTCTGCTTCCTAAATCAATCGTGAAAGGAGAAGTTGTAAAGGTTTGACCTATATTGTATGTTGTGTCTTGTCCCTTATGGTTTATTTTTTAATTGTGAGCTAAAGGATTAAATACAGGAGCAGCATGCAGATATTTGAACACGCATGATCATCAGACAAGTCACCTTCTTGATCCTCACACTGAAATACATAGAGCTTATGTAACGCAGATGTAAATGTTTGCATAAGTAAAAGAACACATATCTCCTTTGGAAATATCTCTTATCAGAGGTCTTTATTCCAGTTTGGTAAAGCCAACAGTTACTCTCCAAAGTTACATTCAAACAATCTTTCATTTACCTGAACCTCAGGTAAACCTCCACGTCCCAGTTCAGACCTTTATTCCTCTGTTGGTCTCACAACGATCACAACAAGAGTGATTTCTCCCTCTTATCATATTCTTTAACATTCCAAGCATACATATTTATATTCACTATTTGTACAATATATTGTCATCGAGTCCATTCATCCGTCCACCCCCCCTCGTCCACATGCACACACACAAACACTGTACAGATGTATCAATGGAATCATGGTTCAAAGACGGTCGGCCTTAACATTTAATATCCACGAGTCAAGGAAAGACACAGCTGAGTACCATTTGTTTGTTTTTCAAGTTCTGGCTGCTGCAAGGTGATTTGTTCATAAAGCCAAATGGAGAAGGCGGCGTGCAGATATATGACAGAGTGAAAGCCTCTCATGTGTTCAGAGGACCCTGGTCCAGTGTTTCAGGAATACAGGAAGAAGAACAAAGAGAGAGATGGAAAGAGCGTTTAAAGGAATGACAATTATTCACCATGTTATCTTGAATTCTTCATTAAGAGCTTACTATTTAAAGCACTTCCACATGACTGGTCTCACGGAGGGTCAAATAATGCTCAAATGTGAAACTTTGATGTCTTTTATAATGTAAGGTTTTATAAAAAAATTGGAATTACTAGCATGTGACGGGATATTTGAGCTTTACTGCACAAAATGTGAGAGCTTTTAAATAAAGGGTTTAAAATACGTCCCAATTTACGTCAATTCATCAAACAGTTTTTTGAATTCTTCTTACCGTAGAGGGATACAAGAAAAACGACATCATCTTCAAAAACTTAAGAAAACACGAGTCGAGTAATTTGATATACAAGTGGTCATTTTGATGGTGAAGCATTCCTGCTCAAATAAAAGGAAAGACAAAGGGAGACCTGAACGGAAAGGGCAGTAAATGTTCATATCATTCCTAAATAAAAGCGTTCCATCCCTTCTTCTCCACGTTGCTTCTCTTAGTGTCTAAACGTCTAAAGCCAAGCACAAGCAGTTCCTTCTCTTGGTTCCCCAGTGTGGTTCTTACAGGAGTGGTGACAGGTTATACAATACAGTCCGGTCTCCAACCTCCAATACTGACGCCTCCTTCTTACTTCCAGCCAACTGATGCTTTGGTCTCTGTGCAGTAGACGAGGCGTTTATGGCCCTGTATTAGGAATCCAGTGTCGGACATTTGGACGCCAACTATTGCAGTAAAGTGGCACAAACGCAGCTGCAGGAGAACATGAGATACTGAAAAGTGCAAACCTGTTTCTTGGTCGCTAGTTCGATACATCTATGGTTTGGTTTATGACACATTTGCGTAGCTTTGGTCCGGAGGTTGTACGAGAGGAGAAAGCCAGTGACTACAATTTGAGAGGAAGAGAAGCTGAGCCGAGCCGAGCCGAGCCAGGCTGTGTTCGGCAGGGCCACGCTGGGTTAGGAAGAGCTCTGCGTTGGGAGAGTGAGAGAGAAAAACAAGAGGCTCGTCCTCCAGCGTCTCTCTCTACCTGCCGAAAATGTTCTCGTACTCCAGCAGTATGAGCTCCACGATCTGGTTCTGGTACACCATGTGGACCGCGATGTTCCACGTCTCCTGTTCGGGGCGCAGCAGCGTGGGGCCGTACACGATGGCCACGCTCTGAGTGGTCATACGGTTCTCCTCGCCGTGCTCGATCACCCTGGAGAGGACACATCATTTGGAATTGATAATAAATCCTGACATAAGATAAGACTTTATTTATCCCGAAGGAAATTGTTGTACCAGAGTTACAAAAATACAATAAACACAGCAGCACAATAACAAAACTGTACACTAACAGTGCAGTAAAACTGCAATTAAATATCTACAGGAAACAGACGGTCACATAATGAAGTAAATATTCACAGTATTCGTGGTTGCTGATACGTAATAAACACAGAATTCTCTCAGAAATACTCTACTGTTTACAATCTGCTCCGTAATGCTGTCGTATTTTTCATAATCAGATATGTATGATGGTTTATTTAGGCCGTTGTAGGTGAAATATACAAACCTGGGCAGGGGAGTAAAGAGTAAACAACTCAGAATTTCTTAGACGTATTTATACATTCATTCGTGATTTATTTTGTCATTTTCTGAAAATATAGGTGTACATTTATAGAATGAGAAAAAGCCTACAAATATGGAGGAAAAACTCAATATTCTTTAATTATTATCAACTCATAAATCCGCTATACTAGTATTACAGAGTGACGATCGTATGCCTCAACCAAATCAGCCTATCTAATCCTATTTGTGAAATTGTCCTAATTAGCAGTTAGCTTTCAAGTTATTTCTGACGGACAACTCAAACATATTATGCCTCAGGCCGCAGATGTCGCCAGAGAAAGGCATACAAAGTGTGATTTGATTTGTAGGCATTATACACAGCAAGCTGAAGAAAAGGAAAAACAAATGATAGAGCAGTAAGAGAGTGTTTTTCTCACTTCCTGAGGTGCTTGAAGAGAGTCTGCATGGTGTCGTGGTTGCAGACGGGAAGCTGTCGGACCAGATCTTTAATGGACTGAACCCGCTGCTTGTAGTCTGGACTCTCTGCACAACAGAAAACACAACATTTATCAAAGTGAATCATCTGGATTCATCAAAGAGTCTCATGCCTCCTTCTGTTGTTTCACTGACTACTTCCACATCCACAACATATGCACATTGTTTTACTTATTCCCAATAAAAGACAATATGAGTACTACGCTGTTTACAAAGATATTTACAAAGATATTTAAAAAGAGTATTTCTAAAATAATCCAGTCTACATGCAGCCTTGCTATTGATGCTTACTTCCCCTCCTTATCAACTTGCAGTTAACGAGCTTCCATTCCTTTATCACTGTTTTTTTACAACAACCAGAAAGCTAGATGTTTGCTCGGCTGTGTTGCAAAATGTGGTGAAAACATCAACATTTAAACGCATATTCTGAAAGTGCTGTATGTCCAAAGAAAGCTGTTCAAATCGGAATAACATCAGCGTATGAAACATTGAAACTTAATATGCTGTTGACATGACCCTAGTCAGTGAAACAATGACGATGTAGTGTACTTAATTGGAGCAAAAAAAGGATTCAATATCTTCCTGCAAAAGCTAAAGTACCTAATAAATGCTCAATAAAGTATTTAAGAATCTGTAACAAAAATATCCCATACTGTAAGAAATTCCTCTAAATAAAAGGATAATACAACTACAACAAGATGAACATATTTGACCGTGATTTAATTGTAATACACGTTTCAAAATGATGCCGGAGTAACAACATACTGATACCGGTTAGTAAAAACCATGAATTAATGCTTTGACAAGTCTGCAGACAGACGGCAGGCGAAGAACCTTTTAAAATGCGTGTTTTCTGAATGGAGATTGGCTACGCTAACGTTGTATATGCTCCGACCGTCCACACTCACAACAACGGCCTACAGACATAAATAAACCAGCGACTGTATTCACCATGACACAGGCAGTCTGTGGTTTGTACTGGTTTAACTTTTGTCAAGTTTCTGAACAGTTATGAGGAGCTGTGAGCTCTGAGTGCTAACAGCTAAAGGCTGATGTTGGTTTTGTGGTTCGCATTGAAGATGACGTCACGGCTCCGCCTACACTGCGTTACTATAGTAACTGCCCCAGTTCCTAAACTGTAATGGAAACGCAGCATAAAGTGAGCCTGGCCTACCAATGCCTAACTATACCGGACTAAGCCGTGCGAGGCCCTGCAGTGGGAATGCGCCATCAGAGAGGCTTCCTGGTGTTACAGACAGTAGACTGACTTCAGAGTTCATGCGTGAATGACTGCAGATGGTGTTGTGGTGCAGCTGTGTGTTTCACGTACTGATTGCGCTGATGAAGTCGTGGAAGAGAGCGTAGGTGAAGAGAGGCTCCGGCAGCTCTCTGAAGTACATCTTCAACGCTCCAGTGATCACATGGAAGTCCTCCCACTTGGAGTCTGACAGGTTCACCCTCTCATCTGCAAACACAAACCCTTCACTCAGAGACCCGGACACAGACGCAGGTAAAGTCTTACGTGAGGAAACATTTCTCACAACACCAGACATTTCAATCGGGATAAAGTGATGATGTCGTTTGACGTGGCTAACACACGTTATGATACTTGCACGTTTCGTTCTTCAGGATCATCTCCACATATTAAAACCACCTTGTGAAGCGTAAATGCTTTCGGCAGAAGTAAAAATGTAAACACGAGGCAATAAACTACTTCAATTCCACACAGATTTCTATCTAACTTCAATAAACCTAAACAATTTGTACATAATGCCCTCAAATATGACCTTATTTTCCACTACACCTTGCACATTTTATAACGTATATATCCTATGTTTATAGTTGACCTAGGAGGTTAGTCTGTTATAGTGTTTTCTAAATGATGCTGTATGTTTTTGTATTGCGTATTTTTTACAATGTGTACTCTACAGATACATCTTTCTATTGTTAATATGCATGTGTCTGATTGTAATTCTTCATTTCTTCATTCTTTTCTTCAAAAATAATAATATTTCAGTCTTCTGACTCAAAAAGCGGTTGACTTTGAGACGAAGGGACTGAAAGTGCTAAAACGCAGACCCTTCTTTGGGGTTGTAGGTCTTGTGTTTATGTTACGGCCCTAACTCGGTTTGAAAGGTGCAATATAAATAAAGTTTGATAATATGATGACTCATTCCTGACTTTGTCCCCTTGTGTTTTCTTCTATATAACTAATAGAAACTTACCATGATTGATAGCAAAGCGTAGTTTCTGTATGATAGCCAGGTTCCCACTGACTCTGTACAGCCCGTCTACACACAGACCTGCAAAGGATCATGGGACGACACCGTAAATCAGTTCAGTGATCTCGATTATTGATATGGTTTGGAAGCCACTCTGAATGTGACCTGTGTTATCATGAACCTTCTTTATGACTGAAACTGAAATAACTTCCTTAACTGAGGTCAAAGGTCAAGGTAAAGTGGCACATGTGTGAAACCCACCATTGTCCTCCACGTGGTCGATGCACATCGTGACAAAGATTGGCACGGAGCCGTTCTCTCTTTGACACAAAGTGGACAGACTGCAGCCGAACACCTGATCTGAAGACAGGGAGAGACACAACCAGCGTCATGACAACAGTCCAGAGTCCTCGCTTAGTGTTTGCCTAATCTGATCTAGAAGCTGTGCCAGATTACTTTCTGTCAAACAGTATGAATTCTGTCAGCCTAAGACTTCACACAACAAATATAAGAATGTAATATAATATTATCACTATAAACATTGACTTCCTGATTCCTGTGGAAAACTGGCACAATGGAAGACACATTAAATATCAAGATAGGATATTGTTAGGTTAAAGCAATTGGATTTAAGTTAGGAAAATCTAAATACTATTTACTTATGAAACCTGAGAGGCAAGTGATAGTAAAACATCTGGTGATCCAATGTCTGTAAGGTGTATACAAAACAAGTTACATTTGTTTAACTTGTTGTAATTTGTTGTCTCTTGGCTTTTTAATTAGTGTCGTACTTAAATGTGTCTCTGTTGCACTTTATCTGAATGCTTTAATGTTTTTTATAAAACGGACAAGTCAAATCAAGCAATCTGATTGGTTCTTAGCCGTGATATAATGAGCGTATATCACGGGTAGAATTGTAGTTGCTTTTCACAACAAGTCAGTATCCCTCCGCGTCTGAGAAAAGCTACAACCGTTACAACCGTTACATTACGTCCGTTACGAAACCAACTAACCAACAAAGCTTAAGATGGAAGCATGTAAGGGATAATGTCCAGCAAGGACTTATTGACAGTTGTTAAGGACGCTCACACCTGCAGAAAGAAGTCCGGTCGATTTAACTGTATACAGTTGGGCTGAAAAGCAAACGGCATGCTTCGCGTCGGGCCGAACCACGCCCCTTAACTGTGATATAATGGCCATATACCACGGCCTGTCGTGAGCTATTGCTTAAATGTATAGCAAAAGTAAAAGCTTTGGATTGCCTTTCGATGTGCTACAGAAATAAACTTGCCTTGTTTTACAGTTGAGATTTTTTCTAAAACCCTGCAGCAATAGAATACTTCTTTAAAAATGTCATGAACATTTATTGATTTCTACGAAGAATAAGTCAAAGTTTCTGCAGCCTTTTGGACTCCATAACACCCCAGGACTCCAAAGACTGAACCCTCTTCATACATTGTGTAATAAATACGACTCAGACTTGTGTTCCTAGATAACCCATGGCTCTCTGGTACCTTCGATGTATCCCTTGTCTCTGACGGCCTGCAGAGTGGGCCGGCGCGTCAGGAACTTCTTCAGCTTGTGTCTCGTCTTCTTGTTGTCCGAGGCGTCCATGCTGCTGGACGTCTTCATGGCTGCAGAGGACAGATGGGAGAGGAGGGCGTTATCCACCACGCGTCTCAACACACTGATCGCCATGACGGCAGTGGACGTTTGGAGGAAATTAAACTGATATGCAGCCGCTTTATAAGGGCAACAAAACACGTGATGTATGACTCTTTAAGCAGTGTTGCATAATGTGTCCACCAAGTCCTGCTGTCACATTCGCTTTTTGTTACTTACTAAGCTCACATGTTTTTATTTCTTTGACCCTTATATATACTTTTTAATGTACTTTTCTTAACAATCGAGTAAACATGGTATGTGTTTGTACTTGTGTTGACACCATTAAACAGAAGACAGACCTCGGCCTTTCTTTGAGTCTCTCTGTTCTTTCTCTGCACCGGGCAACTCCAGCATGTCCTCTTCAATGGCCTCATCAGACTCCTCATCAGACGCCGACCACAAGCCTACACACAACACACCCACACACACACACACACACACACACACACACACACACACACACACACACACACACACACACACACACACACACACACACACACACACACACACACACACACACACACACACACACACACACACACACACACACACACACACACACACACACACACACACACACACACACACACACACACACACACACACACACACACACACACACACACACACACACACACACACACACACACACACACACACACACACACACACACACATTAAAAACGTCTACCTTTGGACTCTCAAGGCAGGAAAACAACAACCTTGATCTGTTGACTGAAAGGGACATTAACTAACTAGTCTATTGTTTTTGCTATTTTTAAAATATCATTTCTATTTCAATTCAGTTTTACATTATTATAATTAGTTAAGTTGCTTTCTATAAATTATCTTGAGTGTTTTAAATAGTAGTGGAGAAAGTCTTTCTGGGTGGGTTGTGTCATTCAGGCCATATTTAAATAAACGTCACCCTGCTCTCATCTCAGTCATTTGATTGACACGCATTGACCGATGATCGTCCTCAAAATCAATTGCATTTCAGTTAATTACAACAAGATTGAAACTACATATTATAATTATGATTTTTTAAATTGTTATATGATAGATAATAAAAGTATATGAGGCGTTTTAGGACAGGTTGGAGATGCTCACATGGGTGCTGATGGTGTCCAGCAGCGCTCGGTACCAGTCGCTCATGAGCCCGTCGTTATCCGACTGCATCAGCAGCTCGGTGCCCCGCCGAGTCTTCACCTGCAACACGCAGAGAAATAAAGATTATTAACTGGGTTCGTTTATATGTTTTCAAACAGTCTTTATTGTTGTTGTTTTCTCTTGTTCTTTCTGTGGGACCATCTAGCCCAAAGACATTTGCATTTAGTTTGAAAACAGTTGTAATAAAAGGTGAGAGTCAGTTTGAAAACAGAAACATTAGAAGCACCTTCAAGATTTTAAACTTAAAGGGATGATAACGTTGTAACAATGTTGTTTTATTAACTTCACCTTAAGGTTTTTGTCGTATCTATTTTCAGATCAATTCATCATCATAACAATGCATGAGGTCTAGATGTCATTACCAACAAATAAAGGAATGAATATTAGATGGCGAAGTGTCTTCAAAGCAGCCTTGGTGCGTGGGAAGAGGCCTAGGGGAAACTACTTTTCTGAGGCCTTTCAGTGCATTCTTTCAATTATACATAACAACAAGCGAGTGAAATTCCCCACCTCTATAACGTGCTTCTTGCTGGATTTGTCCTTGGAGGCCCACTCCACCGAGCCCCCCCTCAGGTCCACAGTGAACTCTGGCGTAGACTGACCGCCTCCGAACTGAACAGAGAGCAAAGGAAGGAGATTCAAACACAACACAGTTAATATAAACATTAGAGATGTGACGTTCGCGAGCGATCCGATTCTTTTGAACGGCTCTTTGGTACGAACGAAGGGAACCGAGTCGTACTTGGTGAGAGCCGTTGTTTTTATCGTTGGTTCACTGCCTGCCACAAATCCACTCGCCTTTAAAGCAACTTGCTTTCCTGAATGCACATTAGCCGTAGATGAGGACATAACGCTGCTTGAGTAGTACTTTGGCTGAGAGATGTAGCAAGTTACACATTTTTCTGTGAGTAAAAGTAGATTTCTGGCAGTCATCGCAGATAAACCTATTAGCCCCGCCCTCTTAAAAAAAACGTCTCTTTTGAACGGCTCTCGGAAAGGAACGGAGCCATAAGATCCGGCTCCTTTCAAAGAGCCGTAATTCCCATCACTAATAAACCTCTTCAGAGAGGAGAGAACTATATTCTGCTTTGATAGTGAAGAACACACAAGTAGATTTAAAGGTTGATTCCTAACTGATCAACTTTTAGGTCAAAACAAGAGAGGTTCCTTGCAGCTCTTTAACTCTGTTGAGCAGTCATGGTGATATGATAGTGATATAATACTACAGTAACAAATATGTATTGTGTCTTCAGTGATCGTAATGTTATTGTTTTGGTATTAGTCCTTGTTGATGCTGCTGCGATGCAAAAAACCTTTCTGACTTGATCTGACAATAACATCGTATCCTCGCATATCGGACAGTCGTCCTTTCTTACGCCTCAGTTGTGTTGGTCGCCGCGTCACTATTTCTCTAGAAAGTATCTGGCTGTGTTGTAGATGTCAGAGCTTGCTGTCACTCACCCAGCTGGTCCCGCCTCCTTGGTTTTTGGTGAACAGCAGCGAGGATCCTTGCAGCACCGTCCAGGAGGAAGTCCAGTTCTTCCTGCAACACAGAGTTCAGAAGCACTTTAAAAACACAAAACAAACATATGAAATCTGCAGAGACTTCTCTCTATTCAGCCGAGTGCAGTATCAAACCTAAGTGACGATGATGGCATGGGTACGGGGTTAATGATGTCGAGTACCAAAGTATTGGTCAGCTTCTTTCTCTTATTTTGAACTATTAAACGTAATAATAAAACATTTTGAATCAATATCTTTAAGTTAGCCTAAAGAGTTGTTTTAATATAAACAAAAGTGATGTTTGTATTCACGCTATCATCATTGTGCTCAAACTATCAGGGATTACATCTTTGACTACAATGCATTTCTGCTTGCCTCTTGGTTTCTCATTTGTTTCCATACTAACTCACTATCAGGAGGCAAGCATTAAAGCGAGGCTGCAGTATTGAGTTGTGCGCTTGTGTGCAGGGATACACTTACAAATACTCCACAGGACTCGAGTTAATATCCTCACAGGCTTCCTTTAAAACTCTACGGTATACGGCATAAAGTCCAAACCGGTAGAAGTTTCATCAGTCCGGGAGACTCACCGTACTTTCTTGCCGTGCTCGGTGATCTTTGTCACATTCAGAACGCCGCACTTTATCAGAGGGCTGCAGAGAAGAGAAAACATGAAGACCACGTATCAATTGAGAAGGATGGCAGAGAGAGAAGCTGGTGCCAAAAACAAATGTTGGGAGACAATAAGGAGGGTCACTGTAAACAACCATCAGCACCACACAAAAGACCCGCCACCGCTTCAGCCTGAAGGAAAAACATGATTCCACCTCCAAAGAAACCCTTGATTCAACACTTATTCGCTGAACAGCATATACCGCTGACCTTTAGTTCCAAGATGTCACCAAAGAGGGCGATTATTGGCGAAACACAAGCGATCACACACCCAGAAACAAACCAAGCAATTCCTCCATGTTACCCATCAGCACCGCAACCAAGGAATCTTCTCATGATCTCCAGATTACTTTCTAGATGAGGCGATTAATCAATTGGTCTATAAAATGCCAACATTTAACAATTTTATTTTCTTTAGTTTAAAACCACAAAATGTTCACTTGACACTTTATAACAGGAGGAGAATCTCCAGATTTGAGGGTCTGAAAACGGCATTTGCTGCCCGAACATTTGTAGGTTCAGGTAAGCGATTATCGTCCTGGTGATTGACTAATCCATTCGTTTAGTAATGCCGGCAGCTTTCTTGCTTATTAACAGGGAATCTACACGGGCTCAAATTCAAAGTGACTTGCTTAGAGTCATTTAGTTGTTGCAGTACATCCTCACTGCAACACATATCACAATGCATGGAGTGTATCCTGGGACACAATCCTTTTCTCTATTGAGTTCCAGGTTTTCGATACCTGTGCAGAAACCCTGCAATAAGCTGCAACATGTGATACCAGCAGGGTCAAGAGAGGAGGTGAGGTGAGGGGTGAGTACTAACAGAGGAGGGGGGCTTGGGAGACGAAGGGCAGGAGTCAGAGTCTGGAGTGGAGGGCTTTGGGCTCAGAGGAGCGTCCTGGTGAAGAGAAAGGGATAAAAACACACTGTCACATGGGCGAACAACAGAAGGTTAATGAGAAGACGATGAGAGGTTAGGAAGACACAAACAGCTGAACGAGTGTGATGGCAATTAGAGGGAGATTATGATTCTGCAAAGTGAGTGCCTGAGAGAGGTCCAGGAGGCACGGGAGGATTATTAATCAGACGTGGAGGCAGGGATTTATCACAGTGCTGCTAGGCTTAATCTTCAGCATTTTTTATTTTGAAGACAAATCCTGTGTGGGCGATGATTGAATATTCAGTTTTTTGGTGAAATTGTTCAAATCAGCTCAGTGAATCAGTCCAAACACAATTTGACATAAAGATGGGGATAATTACTGCTGCTGTGTGATTATTATCATGCACGCTGATCGTCTGCTTGGATTAGAGCACACTGATTGGTCGGTTGACAGGCTACTGACTTGGTGTTTGTACGGGTGTTGGCGGGCAGAGCCTGCGCGGAAACGCCGGGTTTTTATCAGCCGCTGCAAAGCAACCAGTCTACAACTGAGACTCTGGGGTGACGCAATAATACATCTCAACAGTGCACACATCAAATACAAGCTCTACATCTGAACAGTCCAGGAAGGAGTTATCAACCTAGAACCGTAGAGGACATGTTGCCTGGAGATATATCTTTTTAGCTAGAGGTTAAATTGAATAAGAGGGTCAGACCTTGTCGTTGGGGTCTTGGACGTAGGTGCTGTGTCTCCACTTGGTGAGGACGATGGGCTCGACGCTTCTCCGGTCCAGACTCCGACTCTTGGGAGCGTCTCCAGGCAGGGGGAGGGAGTGGTTCAACTGCAGGGGGGAAACAGGCCATCATACTGTATTATTATATCACTAACTTTTAATCAATGCATACCAGGACTTTTTAAAGGTCCCCTATTATACTGTTTTACATCAATATATTACAGCTCTCAGATATATACAGAACCTGTCTCTGATTGGCTCCAAACACCAAACAGATCATTGCAGCATTACCCATAATCCCCTCTGTTTCAGCCTTGTTTCCAAAGTGCTGATTCTCTGTCTGTTACTTTAGATGAAAATAAGGAGCCCCTCCCCACGCCCCTCTGAGAGACATTTGGTTACAAAGAACTCAATGGTGCTCTAGGAGGAGATTCAGGTGATAAGGTGTGTAGGGGGGGGTTACCTTGGTTGCTGATTGGCTAATGGTTACACAAGACAACACATCGTTATGACATCATCAAGTGTCCAAAATCTGATCAGCTCATTTTCAGACAGGTTTTTATAGAAATGGATCAAAAAGAGAGAGAATCTTTGTTCCTGAAACTTTCAGAGTCTCTTTCCACAGAGGGGACACATGTTGATGTAGAAGAGACATGAAGAAGAGGGACACATGTTGAATGTAGAAGAGACATGAAGAAGAGGGGACACATGTTGATGTAGAAGAGACATGAAGAAGAGAGGGACACATGTTGATGTAGAAGAGACATGAAGAAGAGGGACACATGTTGATGTAGAAGAGACATGGAGAAGAGGGGACACATGTTGATGTAGAAGAGACATGAAGAAGAGGGGACACATGTTGATGTAGAAGAGACATGAGAGAGGGGACACATGTTGATGTAGAAGAGACATGAGAAGAGGGGACAGCATGTTGATGTGGAAGGATGACATGAAGAAGAGGGACACGTGTTGATGTAGAAGAGACATGGAGAAGAGGGGACACATGTGACTGTAGGGACACATGTTGATATAGAAGAGACATGAAGAAGAGGGGACACATGTTGATGTAGAAGAGACATGAAGAAGAGGGACACATGTTGATGTAGAAGAGACATGAAGAAGAGGGACACATGTTGATGTAGAAGAGACATGAAGAAGAGGGGACACATGTTGATGTAGAAGAGACATGAAGAGGGGACACATGTTGATGTAGAAGAGACATGAAGAAGAGGGACACATGTTGATGTAGAAGAGACATGAAGAGAGAGGACACATGTTGATGTAGAAGAGACATGAAGAAGAGGGGACACATGTTGATGTAGAAGAGACATGAAGAAGAGGGGACACATGTTGATGTAGAAGAGACATGAAGAAGAGGGGACACATGGTGATGTAGAGGAGACATGAAGAAGAGGGGACACATGTTGATGTAGAAGAGACATGAAGAAGAGGGGACACATGGTGATGTAGAAGAGACATGAAGAAGAGGGGACACATGGTGATGTAGAGGAGACATGGAGAAGAGGGGACACATGTTGATGTAGAAGAGACATGAAGAAGAGGGGACACATGTTGATGTAGAAGAGACATGAAGAAGAGGGGACACATGTTGATGTAGAAGAGACATGAAGAAGAGGGGACACATGTTGATGTAGAAGAGACATGAAGAAGAGGGACACATGTTGACGTAGAAGAGACATGAAGAAGAGGGGACACATGTTGACGTAGAAGAGACATGAAGAAGAGGGGACACATGTTGATGTAGAAGAGACATGAAGAAGAGGGGGGACACATGTTTGATGTAGAAGAGACATGAAGAAGAGGGGACACATGTTGATGTAGAAGAGACATGAAGAAGAGGGGACACATGTTGATGTAGAAGAGACATGAAGAGGGGACACATGTTGATGTAGAAGAGACATGAAGAAGAGGGGGACACATGTTGATGTAGAAGAGACATGAGAAGAGGGGACACATGTTGATATAGAAGAGACATGAGAAGAGGGGACACATGTGTTGATGATAGAAGAGACATGAGAAGGAGGGGACACATGTTGATGTAGAAGAGACATGAAGAAGAGGGGACACATGTTGATGTAGAAGAGACATGAAGAAGAGGGGACACATGTTGATGTAGAAGAGACATGAAGAAGAGGGGACACATGTTGATGTAGAAGAGAGCATGAAGAAGAGGGGACACATGTTGACGTAGAGTAGACATGAAGAAGAGGGGACAACATGTTGATGTAGAAGAGACATGAAGAAGAGGGGACACATGTTGATGTAGAAGAGACATGAAGAAGAGGGGACACATGTTGATGTAGAAGAGACATGAAGAAGAGGGGACACATGTTGATGTAGGAAGAGACATGAAGAAGAGGGGACACATGTTGATGTAGAAGAGACATGAAGAAGAGGGGACACATGTTGATGTAGAAGAGACATGAAGAAGAGGGGACACATGTTGATGTAGAAGAGACATGAAGAAGAGGGGACACATGTTGATGTAGAAGAGACATGAAGAAGAGGGGACACATGTTGATGTAGAAGAGACATGAAGAAGAGGGGACACATGTTGATGTAGAAGAGACTGGAAGAGGGGACACATGTTGATGTAGAAGAGACATGAAGAAGAGGGGACACATGTTGATGGTAGAAGAGACCATGAAGAAGAGAGGACACAAGTTGATGTAGAAGATACATGAGAAGAGGGGACACATGTTGATGTAGAGGAGACATGAAGAAGAGGGGACACATGTTGATGTAGAAGAGACATGAAGAAGAGGGGACACATGTTGATGTAGAAGAGACATGAAGAAGAGGGGGACATGGTGATGTAGAGAGACATGAAGAAGAGGGGACACATGTTGATTGTAGAAGAGACATGAAGAAGAGGGGACACATGGTGATGTAGAAGAGACATGAAGAAGAGGGGACACATGGTGATGTAGAGGAGACATGGAGAAGAGGGGACACATGTTGATGTAGAAGAGACATGAAGAAGAGGGGACCATGTTTGATGATGAAGAAGAGGACATGAAGAACGTAGTGGACACAGTTGATGTAGAAGAGACATGAAGAAGAGGGACACATGTTGATGTAGAAGAGACATGAAGAAGAGGGACACATGTTGATGTAGAAGAGACATGAAGAAGAGGGGACACATGTTGATGTAGAAGAGACATGAAGAAGAGGGGGACACATGTTGATGTAGGAAGAGACACTGAAGAAGAGGGGACACAATGTTGATGTAGAAGAGACATGAAGAAGAGGGGACACATGTTGATGTAGAAGAGACATGAAGAAGAGGGACACATGTTGATGTAGAAGAGAAATGAAGAAGAGGGGACACATGTTGATGTAGAAGAGACATGAAGAAGAGGGGACACATGTTGATGTAGAGGAGACATGAAGAAGAGGGGACACATGTTGATGTAGAAGAGACATGAAGAAGAGGGGACACATGTTGATGTAGAGAGACATGAAGAAGAGGGGACACATGTGATGTAGAAGAGACATGAGAAGAGGGACACATGTTGATGTAGACGGAGACATGAAAGGGGACACTGTGATGTCGGCAAGAGACATGAAGAAGGAGGGACACATGTGTGATGTAGAAGAGACATGAAGAAGAGGGGACACTGTTGATGTAGAATGAGACATGAAGAAGAGGGACACATGTTGATGTAGAAGAGACATGAAGAAGAGGGGACACATGTTGATGTAGAAGAGACATGAAGAAGAGGGGACACATGTTGATGTAGAAGAGACATGAGAAGAGCGGGACACATGTTGATGTGAAGAGACATGAAGAAGAGGGGACACAGTGTTGATGTAGAAGAGACATGAAGAAGAGGGGAGACACTGTGTGATGTAGAAGAGACATGGAAGAAGAGGGGACACATGTTGATGTTAGAAGAATGACATGGAAGAAGAGGGGACACATGTTGATGTAGAAGAGACATGAGAAGAGGGGACACATGTTGATGTAGAAGAGACATGAAGAAGAGGGGACACATGTTGATGTAGAGAGACATGAAGAAGAGGGGACACATGTTTATGTAGAAGAGACATGAAGAAGAGGGGACAACATGTTGAATGTAGAAGAGACATGAAGAAGAGGGGACACATGTTGAGTGTAGAGAGACAGAGAAGAGGGGGACACATGTTGATGTAGAAGAGACAGTGAAAAGATGGGACACATGTTGATGTAGAAGAGACAACGTGTAAGAAGAGGGGACACATGTTGATGTAGAAGAGACTGAAGAAGAGGGGACACATGTTGATGTAGAAGAGACATGAAGAAGAGGGGACACATGTTGATGTAGAAGAGGACATGAAGAGGGGACACATGTTGATGAGAAGAGGACACATGTTGATGTAGAAGAGACATGAAGAAGAGGGGGACACATTTTGATGTAGAAGAGACGTGAAGAAGAGGGGACACATGTTGATGTAGAAGAAGACATGAAGAAGAGGGGACACATGTTGATGTAGAAGAGACATGAAGAAGAGGGGACACATGTTGATATAGAAGAGACATGAAGAAGAGGGGACACATGTTGATGTAGAAGAGACATGAAGAAGAGGGGACACATGTTGATGTAGAAGAGACATGAAGAAGAGGGGACACATGTTGATGTAGAAGAGACATGAAGAAGAGGGGACACATGTTGAGTGTAGAAGAGACATGAAGAAGAGGGGACACATGTTGATGTAGAAAGAGACATGAAGAAGAGGGGACACATGTTGATATAGAAGAGACATGAAGAAGAGGGGACACATGTTGATGTAGAAGAGACATGAAAAGAGGGGACAGCATTGATGTAGAAGAGACATGAAGAAGAGGGGACACATGTTGATGTAGAAGAGACAGTGAAGAGAGGGGACACATGTTGATATAGAAGAGACATGAAGAAGAGGGGGACACATGTTGATGTAGAAGAGACATGAAGACAGCGGGGGACACATGTTGATTGTAGAAGAGACATGAAGAAGAGGAGACCCATGTTGATTGTAGAGAGACATGAAGAAGAGGGGACACCATGTTGATGTAGAGGAGACATGGAGAAGAGGGGGACACATGTTGATTTAGAAAGAGACATGAAGAAGAGGGGACACCATGTTGATGTAGAAGAGGACATGAATGAAGAGGGGACACATGTTGACTGTAGAAGAGACATGAAGAAGAGGGGACACATGTTGACTGTAGAAGAGGGGACACATGTTGATGTAGAAGAGACATGAAGAAGAGGGGACACATGTTGATGTAGAAGAGACATGAAGAAGAGGGGACACATGTTGATGTAGAAGAGACATGAAGAAGAGGGGACACATGTTGATGTAGAGAGACATGAAGAAGAGGGACACATGTTGATGTAGAAGAGACATGAAGAAGAGGGGACACATGTTGATGTAGAAGAGACATGAAGAAGAGGGGACACATGTTGATGTAGAAGAACATGAAAAGAGGGGACACATGTTGAGTAGAAGAGACATGAAGAAGAGGGGACACATGTTGATGAAGAAGAGACATGAAGAAGAGGGGACACATGTTGATGTAGAAGAGACATGAAGAAGAGGGGACACATGTTGAGGTAGAAGAGACATGAAGAAGAGGGGACACATGTTGATGTAGAAGACACATGAAGAAGAGGGGACACATGTTGATGTAGAAGAGACGTGAAGAAGAGGGGACACATGTTGATGTAGAAGAGACGTGTGAAGAAGAGGGGACACATGTTGATGTAGAGAGACATGAAGAAGAGGGGACACATGTTGATGAAGAGAGACATGAAGAAGAGGGGACACATGTTGATGAAGAAGAGACATGAAGAAGAGGGGACACATGTTGATTAAGAAGAGACATGAAGAAGAGGGGACACATGTTGATGTAGAAGAGACATGAAGAAGAGGGGACACATGTTGATGTAGAAGAGACATGAAGAAGAGGGGACACATGTTGATGTACGAAGAGACATGAAGAAGAGGGGACACATGTGATGTAGAAGAGACATGAAGAAGAGGGGACACATGTTGATGAAGAAGAGACATGGAGAAGAGGGACACATGTTGATTGTAGAAGAGACATGAAGAAGAGGGGACACATGTTGATGTAAAGAGACATGACGACAGAGGGGACACATGTTTGATGTAGAAGAGACATGAAGAAGAGGGGACACGTGTTGATGTAGAAGAGACATGAAGAAGAGGGGACACATGTTGATGTAGAAGAGACATGAAGAAGAGGGGACACATGTTGATGTAGAAGGAGACCATGAAGAAGAGGGGACACATGTTGATGTAGAGGGGGCATTGCAAGAGAGGGGCACTGTTGATGTAGAAGAGACATGACGAAGAGGGACACATGTTGATGTAGAAGAGACATGAAGAAGAGGGGACACCATGTTGATGTAGAAGAGACATGAAGAGAGGGGGACACATGTTGATGTAGAAGAGACACGTGAGAGAAGAGGGGGACACATGTTGATGTAGAAGAGACATGAAGAAGAGGGGACACATGTTGATGTAGAAGAGACATGAAGAAGAGGGGACACATGTTGATGTAGAAGAGACATGAAGAAGAGGGGACACATGTTGATGTAGAAGAGACATGAAGAAGATGGGCTACCACGTGTTGATGTAGAAGAGACATGAAGAAGAGGGGGACACATGTTGATGTAGAGGGGCATGAAGAACGAGGGGACACATGTTGATGTAGAAGAGACATGAAGAAGAGGGGACACATGTTGATGTAGAAGAGACATGAAGAAGAGGGGACACATGTTTGATGTAGAAGAGACATGAAGAAGAGGGGGACACATGTTGATGTAGAAGAGATATGAAGAAGAGGGGACACGTGTTGATGTAGAAGAGACATGAAGAAGAGGGGACACGTGTGATTGTAGAAGAGACATGAAGAAGAGGGGACACATGTTGATGTAGAAGAGACATGAAGAAGAGGGGACACATGTTGATGTAGAAGAGACATGAGAAGAGGGGACACATGTTGATGTAGAGGGGCATGAAGAAGAGGGGACACATGTTGATGTAGAAGAGACATGAAGAAGAGGGGACACATGTTGATGTAGAAGAGACATGAAGAAGAGGGGACACATGTTGATGTAGAAGAGACATGAAGAAGAGGGGACACATGTTGATGTAGAAGAGACATGAAGAAGAGGGGACACATGTTGATGTAGAAGAGACATGAAGAAGAGGACACATGTTGATGTAGAGGGGACATGAAGAAGAGGGGACACATGTTGATGTAGAAGAGACATGAAGAAGAGGGGACACATGTTGATGAAGAAGAGACATGAAGAAGAGGATTTTGCACAATAGGTGACAGGTATAAAACAGATACATTTTGTAAAGTCTGTAGAAAACTATTTTCAGGCCGGGACTAACGTTTAATAATTTGTAATGATTGTGACAGAGTCTTACCTTCGGCAGCTCCCATTCTGACCGCGACCCGTCGGCACTGTAGTAATACGGTCGGCCCTGCTCATCCACGTGTTTTAACCACTGAGGTGAACACAGACGGAGGAAACACAAAACATTCGGGTAAGTTCTGAACTGCTTATGCAGAATTATCTGACCTACTCACAAACTGTTTTCATCATTTCAAATACTGCAAATAGATCGTTATGCTTTCATTCTCCACTTTTCTTAATAATTAAGCTTTTTGTGGATCTGCAGCTGTGATTTAAAGTATTTCTGGATAATGAAAAAAAATGGCTTTGATTGTAGAACTCAGATCTTATACTTGTGTAAAAAGAACAATACAACATTTGGAAAATACAGGTACAAGTACAAGTCCTAGAATTACCATGTTACTTTAGTAAAAGTGCAAAACTATGAGGAAAATAAACTTAAAGGACCAAAAGTACTCATTTTGCGTATTTTTATTAACCTATAGTAATATGTCCATGTTTAGTTATTAGTTGTTTTGTAGAAGCTAATAATCTTAATCTGCTAAATCATAAAAACTATCAGATCAAAGTAGAGGATTATAAAGTGCAATATTGGCTTTGAGTGGAAGTGAAAATACTCAGGTAAAGTACAAGGACTTTCAGTGCAGTACTTTCCACCACTGATTAGGGAAAATAGCAGAAAGCAGTTTGTTGTATTAACCCTTTCTCTTGTAGTTGTATTCATTCTCGTTATAAAATATGAGGACATGTGACTGTTAATGAACCAGAACCCGCCTCCACTCCCAGAGAGAGATCACCACATGAAGAGACAGCAGAGAGACGACGGTACCTTCTCGTTGGTATGGTCGCTGACATACAGCGTGTGGCCGTGCTCGTCCATCTCCTCCGACCAACCACGCGGCGGCGAGCCATACTGACTGTCTGATTGGCTAGAGTAGGTACTGAAGTCCTCCGATGACAGAGGCTGCAGCCGACCGATGGAGAGCGACAGGAAGGGAAGGAAAGACGGCGAGAGCGAGAGGGGAGTGGTCTACCGTCAGTGCAGAGAGAGGAGAGAAGTCTTCACCAGGGAGGCACAGAGGAGAGAGGACAGCCAAGCACCCACAAATCATCAGAACCCCCCCCCCCCCCCCACCACCACTTCATTAGAGCACAGAGAATCAGAAAAAACAAGCTAAAATGTGCAGGCTTCATTTTTGACACGTGGTGCAGATCTGATGTGGTTTGTATGACAGTGTTAAAGGAACAGAGGCGGCTTTCTGCCTGTAGGGGGCAGTGTGGTTCATCTAATTAACTCTAAATCAGAGGTGACTCCCAGAGGATTCAGGCTAATCTGTCAGGACAAGGTGTGTGTTTGTGTGGGAGTTCATCAAAGAAACCATTCACTGGTCATCAAATCAATCTAAAATGTGATTATTTCTGCACTGTTTATTATTCTGGTGTGGAATCAAGCTTTTTGTCAAACAGACCAAAACACCTTTAATTTCCTTTTTAGTATTTTGTCACCTCTAACAACCTGTCAGCGCCGAGCAATTTGCAAACGCTTCATTGCCTCCACACTGCCAACTGTGTTGTTCATCACAAGGCAGTCACATAAGAGACGTTACCATGGAGAGCACAAAGAATCATAGAACCAGAAGTGTTGGCACATTACTCTTTGACTCATGCTGCAAGTCAATATAATCAAGTGTGTGTGTGTGTGTGAGTTCTTGTAATTCTATACTTGTGAGAACCTGTTTGAGTTTAGAGTGACAACATCTTTGGTCATTTAATTAAGGGGTTGGAAAATGAACGGATTCAATCTAAGAATTAAGTTTGACTTTATAATTAAGGTTAAGAGCCAAACTTTTAGTCAAACACCTTTGTTATGAAGCTTCAGTCGGACAGGAGGGGTCTGAGTCACACAGGTGAGCCCCAGCTGCTTTCTGCAGGGACTCCCAGGTGTTCAACGTGTGTGAGATGACAAGGTTACAAGAGCTTTGCACTCGTTATCTCCACATTACTGACATTCCTGCATCCTCTACTGTTGGTGTTTGCACACAAGAAATGAGGGGTACCTGTGTGTTATCTGTAAAAACTACATTTAATCTCTTGAGCTTTTGTTAAAACTCTTGTTATCTTATCGTTTGAATACCGGCATCATTATAAGCTCCCACTAGGGCCGGGAGATATGGAGGATCAAATCAGTATATCTGAATAACTGACAATAAACCTTAATATTGAGACGATATTCATTATTGTTGCTTTCACAAATATTCACACCGTGAGAGTTTTGATAAATAATCTTTGGCCATGAATTTAATGATTAAAGGAGTAAATGCAAATATTGGAACAGCTTCAAAGGCCTGTTGGTTTTCTACTTAACGCTTATCGCTCACTTTAACTCACCTGACCTCAGATATGAGTTATTTCAACTTGTTTTCTCCAATTCTTTAATGGAAACACTCGTTGTGTGAACTGTTTATTAAAGAATAATTGATTTGCTGTCGTGTAATGAAACTTACCAGCAATAGTGACCTTTTTGATTTATCTGACCGCCTTTGCAACTACCACTTGATAACTTAGGATAATGAGTGTAGTTCAGACAGTTGTAAGTAATGTCTGTGTGTGTGTGTGTGTGTGTGTGTGTGTGTGTGTGTGTGTGTGTGTGTGTGTGTGTGTGTGTGTGTGTGTGTGTATACGGCATATACAGTATGTTTCGTGTGATGCCGTTGTGCCACATGTATTGTGGACATGTATGTTTAGTGTTGATTTTAGTTTGGTTCTGTTTTAACGCCTTGTGCGGAATGCTTTGGCAATACTATGTTTAAAATGTGGTCATGCCAATAAAGCCCCTTTGTATTGTGTGTGTGTGTGTGTGTGTGTACCTCGGAGCTCTCTCCGGCGCTCAGGCTCTCTCCTCTGGAGCTCCCGGTGCTCGGCTCTCTGGCTCGGGGGGGCTTCCAGGTCCTCTCCTGGGTGGAGCGGTTGTAGTAGAAGTGGCGGCCGTTCTGGTCCTTGTAGGTCTCCCAGTCTCCCAGCACGTGGAGGGGGGAGCTGGAGGGGGCGGGGGGGAGGCTGCTCTGGGTGATCTTCAGCTCCTGCAGGTTGGTGTAGACCGGAGACTCGGAGCGGCCGTGGCCTGACGACGACACCGTCTGAAGAGAGACAAGGAAGTGGAGCTGTGAGTGGATTCCAGTCTGTTATATCATCAGGGGAAAGTTCCTCGATAGAGAGCGAAATGCACAGCGTTCAGAGTGTGGTTCAACAGCTGCACATCAGAGAGAGAAACACTTTTTCCAACCACAGCGGGACGTTTACATTGATACAGCACAAGGGCAGTACAGATAGAAAGCAAACGTAAGTGAGTAGAATAACATTAAATAAAGAGGCAAGCACACATGTTTACAATATGCATCGAAAGTAACAGCAGAATCAAAACAAGTGGTCATATAAAGGTCATGGAGTAGCAGCCAGTATTAACATTACCAAAGTCTTCAAAACAGTGAACAGTCTTAGGTAGTGGAGCATCAGCAGTTAATTGTTAATTGGTAGTGACACTTTAAAAACCAGGCATCACACACTTCAATCAATCTCCTATAATTTGCAGTATTGAGTGGCGTTGAATCCTAAAAGGAAATGGGTTGAATGCCAGAAAACGATATGTATTTAAAGCTGACATAAGCACTGTCGACCACCGATGAGCAGAGCGTTGAATGAAGGGGATGCGGACGAGGAGAGGGAAGGAAGTGTTGTATAACAGAGTGACACGAAGTCAGGTAGAAAAAAGGAAGTGAAACTGAATATCAAGAGGCTTTAGCAGGACGGTTTGTCCAGGCTAAGCCCGGACGCTGGGAGTGAGGGGGGAAGGGAGTTGTCCGGTGCCTTGCTCAAGGGCACCACGGCAGGGCAGGAGGTGAACTGGGACCTCTCCAAGTAGAAGTCCACACTCCAAATGTAGGTCTGGTCGGGGACTTGAACCGGCGACCCTACGGCTCACAGTCCAAGCCCCTACTGACTGAGCCCCTGCCGTAAAATAGGAGACCACGCTGTAACGTTGGCCGCTGACGGATGGAGCATGTGGGTATGAATTGAAATACTATGATTTAAAGGTTCCTGCATCCAGTGGAGCAGCAGCCGTAGTAAATCCAGCCGCCTGTAATGACGGAGCATCCTTCTTCAGAAACCCTGACGTGAGACGGATGCAGTCAACGGGCCGCTGCTCGTCATGATTACTTCATGCTGCCTCTCTGCGTAGCGGCAGGGCACAGAGCCCCGAGGCTCCTAACACCGGCTCTGTGATGTTTTTATTACACGGGGATCAATAGGGATGAAATATGCAGGAGGCGAGCAAACAGCTGGAGGTGCACCGGAGAATCCTATAATCAGCGCACTCCATGAAGACGTTCGCTGCTAGAAACAGCATCACAACAACCGCTGAATAAAGGTGGAAAGTGTGGAAATACGGGGCTGCATTCCTCGGCAAGAAATGCAATTATTATGACTGATATCATAATTCCGATATAAGAGGGATGGTCATTTTATCATATAATTGATTAACATACTAGAATGATCATGATGTGATGTACTAGAGGGAGGGGAAATAGGGAATGATACTGAACTGATATACCAGTATTTTAAATTATGCAAAATAAGCATATTTTCAGATTATTCCCATCAAATCTACAGCTGCACGATTTGAAAAAAACAAAACACGATCATTTTGACCGGTGTTGCAATTACGATGTGATCATTATTACGGTTTTTTCATCATCTTTAGAAATATATCAAATGATATTGGTGTCGTTTTTTCTGTACCAAACAAGGAGCTTTAATTAGAATACTGCAAGAAAACCCGGTTTCTCTGCAGCTCCGCTCTGAGTCCTTATTTGCAATTTGATAACATTTAAAAAAAAAAAAGTGCAGCCCAATGAATATGCAAAGAAGGAATATGTGACATACTTCACCAGTGTCTTAATTAAACTTGAAAAAACACAAGAAGACGGCATTTGAAAGAAAGTCAGCGACAAAACCGGGAAACTTTCTTTGCAAGTTTAACCGTGAAGCCATTTAGCAAACAGACTGCTTTTACCAGAAACACTCTGCAACACTATTGTGCAAATCTGTACACTGTGAAGCAAGTCGCAGCTTTAAAGATAATCTCAATAATTAAACAAGTAGAGATATTACCTCTGGTGGTGAGCAACTAGTAAACACATCATCTTCTTCATGAAGTAAGATGGCCCGTAAAAAGCTTCTCCTCAACCGGATTATTGCCATCGTCCCTGCTCAATACTTCTCCTGCATGCCGTGCTCAGTGTTGTCTTCCTGCCTAATGCTGAGTGAACATGTGATTTAGTGTCTGGATTGACAAAGGGGAAGTCCTGGGAGTCAATCGGCCGTTAGAAAGCCAGTTGGGTAGTATCGCACTTCAGTGGTGGCCACAAAACCACACTTTCCTGCTATCTGAAATCATGTGGTAGAAAACTGCCTTTAACACTTTCCTAGTAGTGTACTGTAAAGAAAACACATGTGTTACCTCGATACTTTTATACTGTCCAATATATTTTAAGCACCTGATGGCTAGTTTATTTAATAACAAAGCATCATATTTGATAAACTCTTAGAAAATACAAATTTGAAAATGTACCTTAGAGTTGTATTGAAAGTGTCAGTAAAGAAATTACTTAGGTAAAGGTACAATACTTCACATACTTAGTTACATCGCAGGGTTAGGAATTACATGAAGTACAGACACAGCTGGATCTAAATAAGAAAACTGTGTTTGTGGCGATTAAATAAATGACTTTTTATTCGGTTGTTTTGTTTTCGTTTGGTGATGGATCACTGTATAGATAGCACTGATGGTAATTGTGTTTACTGTAATGTGAATAATATGTGACTCCAAATAAAGAATTAAAAAAATATATATAAATTACATACATCCTCAAATTGCAAATCAAGAGCAATTTCCAGAAGAAGACATATTGTCAGATATTGGAAATGTTTAAATATATTTCACTTACCCTTATGTATAGGCCACACGTTTGTATTATCACGCACAGCCTTGGCATAAGTACCACTAAAAGGTCTTCCAGTGACGGCAGCACTGCTATGCTATCTCACTAAAGTCCCTCATTATGCAACTGAAGACTGTACGGTCCAGCGAGGCTCATTACAAATGCACAGGGTGTCTTCTGGACTCCATTACAGCGGCAGAGTGTTTGTGAGCAGCTGCTGGACATCTGCTGAGAGCACACTGAGCACATAATCAATACGCAGCTCTCAAAGCTCCGTACCACGGTACTTGGATGACCTCTAACATCACAGGAGCGGCTATCTTTAGAAGTACACTGTGCTTTAGTCCAGGTGAACAAGTGTTATCATGTTCTTAGAGCTGGGACGTGGAGGGAGTTACTTCACGGTTTGGAAAATGAAGATGTTTTTTCTGTGTAAGTAATGTTAGGTTGTTATATAGCAGCGGTTCCCAACCGCTTTCAACTCAGGGCCCACTTAAGAATCAAAAACTATTTTGCAGCACACATTCAACCATAAACAATACGGAGGCTAAATAAAGGTCTGATTGGTTAATTCAGAACATGTGACACGTTGTAAATCCAGTAGTACAGACCGCTGTCAAGGACTGTAATGACCGTTGCTAAGGACTATAATGACCGTTGCTAAGGAGGATCGAGAAAGAGAAAGGAAAAAAATCTTAATAATGAAAATGTTTCCACACAAATCAGAATGTTTTGCAAATTATTTGGCAGCAAACATTGAATTTACATTTACACTCTTTCATATTTTATTTGAGCTTTTAGATGAAGACCGCACACAATTAATAAATACAACTATTCTTCTGGTTAAAATACATATTTTTAAAAGTCAATCAAGGAGTAATCCTAATTTAAGGTGTTTGAAGAGTAGATTCAAAATACAATTTCTTTTTGAAAAAATGATTGGCTCAACACGCCATGAAATGGGAAATAATGATCTCTAACGAAGAGTGGGATTAAAGGAACAAAATGCTTGCCATGTTGTGTTTTTGGTGGTTTTTGGTTGTCAACCTATTTTTGTTTGTGAAATGTTGAAATGTTGAAATGTTGAAGTGTGTTTTTGTCTGAGATGAGAATGTAATCTCCTATATGTTATTGTTATGAAAAAAAAGGGTTATGTTATTTGGCGGCCCACTTACAATGCCTTCGGACCACTAGGGGGCCGCGGCCCACAGGTTGGGAACCGCTGTTATATAGAAATGAAACCATCCTAATTTCCAGAGCAACTGAGTAAGAAAGTAATTACCACTTTCAAGGAGCATTTTGTTAAAAGAACAAACATCCAAGCTTGATAGAAGGTGTTGTTGGCTGGTTACGTTAAGTGTTATCTGAAATGTGAGGAACGTCTCTTATTTACCATTACTAATTATGAAGTGTTGTGTTTTGGACTGTCATTTAAACAACTTAGGTAATTTAAATACATCTCTTTGGCCTCTTGCAAGAGCCATTTGTCGTTGTTTTGGCAAGTAGTCGATTCATTAAAGCAACAAAGACCTCCAATTAAATGTATCCGAGCCGTTACAATAGCGACCAGCAAGCCTTGATCAGAGCAGAAGTCAACTGCATCCAGAACAGCTGCTGTCCAGTCTGCAGTGAGAAGAGTGTGAGGGTGCACTGCAGCAGATATAAGCTGCTCTGATGGCAGCTCCGCTCACTCCTAATTCCCCATTTCAGGCCGGAGCAGGAGTTAATGAGCAGAGAATAAGGAGGAAGGCAGAGCGTCGCTGCCAGCCGCAGATAGGAGCCCTGCAGAGTTGATCTGAGCCGCCTGCAGCTCTGCGGAGCAATAATAATCAACTGTTCTTCAGATAAACCCCATCCAGCCACAGAGGCTTCAGGCAGTGAACGCATCACGGCTAATATTAGACGGGAATGGCTGCAGATGCTCACATAGTTTATATTTAGACTAGTCTGGTGTGAGATTCAGAACACTGTTCATGTTATTATGCAAAGCTGCTTCTGATTCACAGAAAGCTGGAGGAAACTGCAGAGTCCCTCTCACTGTTTAGTTTCAGATGTGGTTTCAGTGGAACTTGGTCTTAAAGTAATAGTATAAACAAAGTAGGGCTGTGCGATTATGGCAAAAATCATAATCACGATTATTTGGTCAATAATTGATATCACGATTATTTTGACGATTATTCATTGACCATTTATTGAACTTTAAAACAAATAATATTTTACCAATAAACAAGATCAACAAATATGTTGGAGCGCACTTCCAAAACCATACTAAACATATATTAATATGTTAAATAAAAATAAATTAGACCAAAATAAATGAAATCAAACATGTTGCAGTGCACTGTCACAACCTACTGAAAACTCCTTAACATATAGCCAACATTTTGGTAAAACATATTCATTATTCCACTCAGTTAAACGTTGAAGGCTGGCCAACCGTCATGGTCCAGAAGTAACAGGAAATAAATGTTGAACTACAATTTAAGACCAAATAAAAATGTTTAGGCCACCATGGCAAATGCTGGTAGGGCTGCTCGTGTCATCTCTTAAAGATTTTTTGCAAGAAACACCAGCCTGTTTACAGCAGATTAATAACGGTATCTAAATTGAGTTTTTATTATATCAAAAACCTGTTGAAATGCTGCTGTTATTTTTACTGTCCCACAAAAGCGCGTCGGCAGCCTCCAAGAATGCTTCTTTCATAACTTCGCCGTCTTTGAAAGACTTCATGTGTTTCGCAAGAACGTGACTGACACGATAAGATGCTCTGGTAGCAGCCTTGCTCTTGTTGTTGGGCCTGGTGGAAATGGACTGCTGTGCATTTAGCAGTCCTCTCAGGCCCCTCCCCTTTTGGAGCGTAGGGCAGAATTAGGAGGGAATTCCGTCTCGTAGCGTTTGTGCACTGTTTTGAAATGCCGCTCCTAAATGACCCTTCTTCGGTAAAGCCACGCTCGCATTGCAGATGAGAGACAGATGGACTTTGAATTGGAATAGATACAAAAATAATCATCCTCCCACTCGGAGTGAAAATTATATATTTTGGGCTTTTTTGCTTCTGCCATAATTGCGGTCTTGTGTGCGTGCGCACTGTCACTCCTGTTGACACGGACAACGTCAGCGAACTAGTGCACTGCTCACCAGCCACGCCCGGACACATGGGGTGAGGCCGGCCAATCACAAAGCTTTGATGCGTTCAAGTGCATTATTCTGGCACGGGAACATTATGTTATAGGACATTAACGATAAAACAGAATATTGTTGTTCTATTTTTAGACACATCTCGCGATCGACTGGGGAATCTCCCCGCGACCCTTCTTTTTAACTAGTTGCTGCTCTTGTTCTGACATCTTCGCTTGCGCTGAACACTCACAACACATGTCACTCCCACGTGGCCGAGTGGGCTTTTAGGGAGGGGCGAAAGCGCACCCAGCAAAATAATCGTATTTTGTCAATTATGCTGTTTTCCTAATCGTCGCAAGCCATAATCGTAATCGCGATTAAAATACGATTAATTGCACAGCCCTAAAACAAAGTATATACTCAAATTGCAATGATTTGGGATGGAGAAAAGCATCAAATCTCTAAAGTGTGTAGCTCTAGTAGTTGCGCTACAAAAAATGTCACTGGATAAACTCACTGGTTAGGTAAAAGCACTTAAGAAGAAACGTGCCATTACTTGAATGCATTTTTACTAAAAGACTTTGAAACTGTGACAAAAAGTTCATTTTCTGAGAAATTTAAAAATGTTTTCAACACATTTCTGGTCCTTGTAGAGTTGATGTTTCAGCCCCCGCAGGCGACTTTGTCTGAATGCTACCGTGTGACTTTTTGTACGTGTTGTTTATCGTGAAGTTTGTAGCTAATTGGCTGTGATACTTGAGGCCTTTGACCAGGGGCGATGTGACCTGTCATCTTCAGCTAAAAACCACACGAGTAAAACTATTTAAAAACCAAAAAGACTGTAAGATTAAGAACAATGTATTTGTTCTAAAGACACTATAAATAATAACTAATGTGAGAGTTTATCCAGAGGAGCAGGCACCATCATCCGTTAGGTGGCGGACTGACAAAGTGTCTCATTCCTTTAAAGGGGAAGAGGAGGAGCTCCACATTTTCACCTGCTCTCTCCTCCCCTTTTCTGACAGTCAAACCTGCTCTGCTGCATACCTGCAGTGCAGAGCAAACACAAAACACACACACACACACACACACACACACACACAAACCATGTATACATCACTTCAGGGGACATTACATTGACTCACATGCATTTCCTGGAGACTTATCCTAACCTTAACCATAACCAACACATGCCTAACCCTTACCCT